AGGCGCGGCCGGCTGAAAGCTGCGCCCAGCGTCCCCCCACACACACCCGCAAAGGCCCGCCTCCACCCAGGCCCTAGTGGGGTCCCTATCCCGAGATCTGGCGGCCGGAACGCTCTCCCCCAGGCTGCTACCACCGCGGTCCTGCTTAGGACCGGTCTGTGTTCTGCTCTCACCTGGGTGAGATGCTGGGCGACGCCTCCCAACCCTCACCCAGCTCTCTGGAGGCCAGAATGGCTTTCTGAAAACCTTGGTCCAGTGCTGACACTCCATAGGGTAGGATGATCTTGACGCACACCTCAATCCCAGCTCTCTGGAGGATGAGGCAGGAGAATGAAGAGTTTAAAGCCAGCCTGGGCCACAAAAGCAAAATCCTGACGCAAAACAAAGACAAAACAGCCCTTGGTACTGTGTGAGCAATGGTAGACCTCTTACAACCTGCGTAAGAGTATGAGAGTCCAGCCAGGTGTGGTCGTACATGTGTGCAATCCCCGATCTCAGAAGGAGAGAGGATCACAAAGTGGAGCCCAGCCTGAACAACTTATCAAGATCCTGCCTCACAAAATAAAAGGGATTGGGCTGGGGGCTTAGCTCAGTGGCTCCCCACCTGCCTTAGAACAGGGTCTAGAGTTCTAACCCCATACCAAAAAAACCCAAAAAACTGGGCTCAGTCGCCAGCATTGTGTGGCCCTGCATATGATAACAAACCATCTGCAATAGGTAAACAAATCTTTGAGGTACAGGTTTCCATTTTCTGAGTAGTTTGAGCTCTAGTTTGGACTTAGGGTCCCAGCAAGCGTGCCTGGTGCAGTGGAGTGACAGGAGGCCTGCCAAGTGGCTGTGATCTGGCTGTGACTAAACCTGTCAGGTGGAAGCCCAGCTCCATGCCCCTCACGGCCAGGGCCTTCCTGATGAAGACCCCCAAGGCTGAGAAGGGCTCTGGGCCTCCTCCATTCCCGCTCCCACCAGGCTGGCCCCAACACAGTGTCTGCAGGAAGTCCTTTGGTCTGCTCCTGAGGATAAGCTTGTGACCTACGTTCTTCTGGCAGTACTGGGGATTGACACAGGGCCTTCATACTGAGCTGTATCCCCAGCCCTTTTCTTTTTCTTTATTTTGTGACAGGGCCTTGCTAAAGTGCTGAATTCCTTAGGCTGCACTCGAACTTGGTGAATCTCCTGCCTCAGCCTCCCAGAGTACTGAGAGTACAGGCATGTGCCACCATACCTGGCCACAAATTTTGTTTTATGAACTTAAAAACATTATTCTGAGGCATTCATGTTCTCTACTAAACTTTAGAAGGAGGATTTCAGATTCTGGAACATTCCTCACGTCTTCCAGTCTGTGCCTTTACAGTTGTAGGCCATTGTGTATCTGTGTTAGTGATAGCAGTTTAGCACCGACAAGGCGGTGGGCAGCTGCTCTGCTTCCGGCCACTACAAACTGAGTAGCTTTACTCCACCTGTCTCTCCCCTGGAGCCAGCCAGCGATGACGGAAGCCTCGAAAAAGGGGAGTGATTAAGCTGGTTCTCCCTTAGGCACCTGGTGTCAGGTATCTTGTACCAGCAACGGGAAAGCTGCTGACACCCAGCGCCTCGGGAATGCTGAGCATGCAGTCAGTCCATCACTGAGCCGCCCAGCCCACGACTGCCAAGAGCAGGAATGTGCAAGTACCTGCCCTGTGGCCCAGGATAAACTGCCCAGGATTAAAGAGGTGATTGGAAAGGACAATGAGTGCTTAGATGTGGAAATGGGGCATCCTCACGTGAGCCCTCCCAAAAGTCTCTCCTTTACTCCAAACACATGCGTCCCATCGTTGGCGCTCTTTCTGCAGCAGCTCTGGCGTCTTCTTTCGTGAGTGTCTTTATGAGATGTGATTTAAAAATGTGGTGGCTGCCACTGAGTGCCATCCAACGGAAAGGCAGGCTCGTAAAAACACAACGCTGGGTCCACGTCCACCTTATTCACCTGATCTGACGCCGTGTGACTTCTGGGTCTTCCCAAAGTCAAGCTGACTGGGACAGGTAAATGGTTTGAATCAATTGAGGACCTAGAGGTAGCCAGGGCAGCGCAACTGAAGACACTCAGGTAAGAGGACACCAGAGCTGCTTCAGAAGGTGGCAAAGTGATGGGATCAGTGTGTTTGGGGTGAGATGGGAGACTTTAAGGGGTTCATGGCAATGTCTCTTTGACTGAAATTTTTTTTCCAGTACCAGGGACTAAACTCAGGACCTTCCACTTGTGAGGCAGGCATAACATCACTGAGCTAAATCCCTGGGCCTTTTGCTGCAGTTTTAAAAATGTAAACATTGGCATATTTCACACCCCATATATCCAAAAGAAGTCCTCCTACGAGTCCAGAAGCGCACTCATCGTGGACTGCTCCGGGAGCTGTTGGTTCTCATCGCTAGAGAAAGGGATCTGTCAAATAAGGTACTTTCAGACATAAACAGAAAGGAGAAACAGCCATGGGTGTCCTGGCACATGCCTGACGTCATGCCAGCACTCTGGGAGGCTGAGGCAGGAGGATTAAAAACTTGAGCCCAGCGCTGACAAGTTAGTGACTTAGCAAGAGCCTGTCACAAAATAAAAGAGAGCTGGGGTTGTAGCTCCGTGTGACAGGCTCTGGTCTCATCCCCGGGACCACACACACCCAAATCGAGTCAACCCCAATGGACTAACACACCGGATGCTAAGGTAAGACAGTTGGGAACAGAATAGAACACGTGGTACATTATCATTGTCTGTAAAGAAAAAGTCTGCAGAAGACATCTTTGGCAAGAAGATATGTATAAATATCTACAGATATAT